AATAGTGGTGATAATGACGATGTAGTAACGATTTCGGGAGAAATCATTTTGCAATTTTCTTTGCCTGTTATATTCATTCTTCTAAATCTTTCCATTCACTCGCAGTCTCGCGTGAAATCTCTATTATTATAATAAGGAACGTTTGTTTCCCTCAGATATTGTAAAAATAAATCAGAGAATAAATCGACAAAATAATTGTTATTGGATTAGTGATTATTAAATTTTCTGAGATTATATATATTTATTATAGGAGTTGAAAAAAGAAAGACAATTTATAATTTTTGGAGGTTATAATAATAATAATAAATTTTTAAATTTAACAAGTTTTTATTTGCTTTTATTATTCAAATGTACTTTAAGAATATTAATTAATATTTACTAGTGAAAAAAAGGAATCTATTTTTTTTTCATAAATTTTAGTACGCGTGTATTTATAAGATAATGAAAATTGAAAAACGAAGATATAAATAAAAATATGCAGATTTATTTATTTTATCAATATATCATTATGAATAATTATTTCCCTTATATAGACTTTTTAATTCAATGATGTTATTTGTTTAATTAATAATCGGAAAATAATGACTTCTAAACGAATTTAAAAGTATTAGATTAATAAAATGTTTGATTTTTATTAAGACGAACTATATATCAAGGAATTCAGCCAATACCATAATTATGCAAAATTTATACAATAGCCACGCAATCGTGTCCTTGAGAAACGTATTATAACTATAACGATCTACAAAATCAATTATATAGGATAATTGATTGGTCGGGTAATAGTCAAACCTTCATTTACTTTAAATCCATGTAACGTGATACACCTAACTGCCACAATAAAATAAAAACATTAATTAATATTAAATGCTAATAATAATACACCTAAATATTTAAATATTGCTAATTATTATTCGCAAAAAATATATTCCAATTATAAACAATATTTATTAATGATAAAGAGTAAACCACTCACATTTCAATTTTTAACTGGTTACTTGTTCAAATATTCCAAATATACAATCTTTAAATAAACAAACGTAATTGTGAATTTTAAAATCATCCTGTAATCAATCACAACACAACTTATAAAAACCAGAGCAAGCAACATCAACAATATAATAATAAAAAACGTCACCATATTGGTTTGTACAAATATAAGACAATTAAACACAACACAAATCGAAAATTCTTAAATGTTTATTATTATTATTATTATTAGTATTGTTATTCCTATTTCAGATGATTGATCGTCGACGATGATCTTCTTTTAAATAAAAACGAGAAGGATAATAGCTAATCTTATTTTTTTTTTTTACCGCCAACTATTTCAAAATGTCTAGCCGCATAAAATTTTCAGCAGTTAAAAGATTTTATTAAATAAAAAGATTTTACTAATAACAATCTTTATAATTATTTCTAGTAAAGATAATATTTATGATTCAATTGAAATTGTATTTACAGAAATTCCGTTTCATATTAGCTCCAAAACCCAAGCATTAATTTATTTTTTGCATTTACATTTTTTCCTAAACTTATACATCTATTGATGACTTGACTTTTTTAATTTATCATACATCGACAAATTAACGCGTTCTGCATTTGTTTGCAGTATAAGAAGGACGAATTACTTTTGTTATGATTTATTTATTTATTACATTAAACCATTGTATCCGAATAAAATAAGGATATATATACTTTGATAATATTCATAATATTATTAATTCTTTCTTTGTATATTATTATTTGGTATTTCATTATTATTATTTATTTACAAATTTCATATTTGAAAAAAAATTGAGGCCGAGTAAATTTCGTGCAACAATTTTTTTAATTGATATTTATTTTAACATTATTGGGTAAGGCAGAATTTTCAGCTACAACAACTAAAAGGGTACGGTCAAAGTACTCCGATATCAATGGATTTTCAGGTTTATTTGACAAAAACAGGAAGTTAGGATTAATTATATATAATTTTGTTTATATAATTTCTATTTTTAATGATAAACATCAAAACAAATAAACATTAAAAGTTTGGCATTGGTTGGAATTATCTAAATTTAAATTATTCAAAAGCATATTATTGCATCAATATAAAATATAGATTTTACCAGGTATACTTTTTCCCAATTAAATTCTTGCAGTGAATTATATTTTGTACAAAAAAAAAATCCGGTTTTTGTTTGTTTACGTTAACAATAAAATTTATTTGTGAAATAAATATATAACTTGTGATACAAATATTTTTATAAACTGTTAAGGTACACACACACTACTGATTATACACAAGATTATAGCCGAGAATGCGCAGTGAATTTCATGAAAAAGTCGAAATCTGATTAGCTAAAATAAATTATAACGCCAACACTAAAGCTCCCGAACGAATCAAGAAATAATAGACTCGAGTTTGATGTTGCATAAATTTTTTAAAGTAACGAAAGATTATTTCTAATACTTTATTTACATTTACGCGCATTACCTAAAAAACAATTCAAGTACCTATTTTCTTGAACTCGGCTCGAACTTGAGAATTCAAGTCTTAACTCGAATCTACTTAACTTAGAGAATAAAGCGAATAAGACGAATAATTCGAATGAACCAATGATTCAAATGATCCAGATAAACGAATGAAACGAATAATAATAATAAAAAACGAATAATTTGAATAATTCAAACAAAACAAACAAAACGAATAAACAAAACGAATGAACGAATGAACGAACGGACGAATAAACGAATGGACGAATAAACTAATGAACGAATAAGCTAATGAACGAATAAACGAATAAAATAATTCGAATAAACTAATAAAACTAATATTAATAATTCGAATAACGAATAAAACGATTAATTGAGATGTATTACGAATAATTAGAATAAGAATTTATATTACGAATAGAAATTCAATAATAATAAAGATTTTTTATACAGTTTGCGTTTCAATTCTCTATAAATATCTGATCAAAACATTGTGAAACTTTATATAGTCGTTTCAACGAATTATAATTGAATTCGCGTTACATGAATTTTTAAAAACATAAAATTCATTGAAATGTGATTAGTAATTTTGGTATAACGAATTTTAAATGCAATTTTCTTATGCTTGACTATATACATATATTCCAGAACTTAAAAATCATTTTTTATTAGAACCAGATATTAATATTAAAACACAGAGTCGAAACTTTCGGAATTATTTATGGTGATTTAAATTTAAGAACTACAGTCAACCTTCCATAAGTGCACCCCCTTGGGAATGGACAAGGGCGTGCATTTATGGAGGGATGCATTTAGGAAGGATAAGAATCTTATTAGCTGCACGTGACATTCGGATATTGTGTTAAAAAATTTTATTTATTATTATATTATAAAAATTGATCCATTGTAGTTTGTTTCATTGAATTTATTTTTTTTAAATTAATATATCGATCAAGAGTATTAACTTGTTTTAATTGTTCTTTAGTATTTCCTTGTTGTAGTAAAAAGGCAAAGATAATTTCCAAACTTTTGGAAACTTCATCATCACTTATTATTACCAGTTAAATGCTATCATCATCCTCACTATTGTAATAATAATGGTATAGGATTTTTTATTTATTAAAGCTTGTGTAAATTGATTTGTTTTTAAAACTCTTCATTCTTGTCTTGCCTTCTTATATAAAATAATTTCGCCTGTAAGAGTTTCATCATCTGTATTCTTATTTTGTCAATTAAAAAGAAAGAACCAGTAAACATTCATTTAATTCTTTATTTAAAAAAAAACTTTGTCCTTTGTTTAATTTTTGCTTATAAGTTTCACTATCTGGTAATCCTTTGTCAATTAAAAAAGAAAGAATTTAATATACATTCATTTAATTCTTTATTAAAAAAAAATCTTTATCCTCTGTTTAATTCTTAATGATTTTGCCTATAAGTTTCATTATCTGATACCCTTTGTCAAATAAAAAGAAGGATTAGTATACATTCATTTGATTCTTTATAATTAACAATTATTTAATTGACTCGTTATTAAATATAACTCTTTATCCTCTGTGTAATTATTAGTGACTCTGCCTATAAGTTTTATTATCTGCATAATAACTCTTTGTTGATGAAAAAGAAAGAATTAGTAAATTATAC